TGAACCCTTAGGTTAGCACATGACCATCACACACATCTACTTTCCTTTCTGACAGCAAGTTACAGTTACATGCAGTACATCACATTTCCCAGAAATCAAAAATAAGGTGTTTGAAATTAAGGAACAGGTATACCTGATTCTGCATTTTCAGTCAAGAAATCTGATTTCCTCACACCACTGTAACTGTTGTTTGCTCCACAGCTATGTCACTAAACTACATTTGGTTCAAGTATTAACTACTTTTATTTCAAATCTGTGAGCTTAACAACAAAGTGGTATAAATATTAATCAGAAGAGAGCCATGCAAGCCTACTTTAGTTAATCCTTCATTAACATGAACAGTATAATTGTCTTCACCTGAGCCTAGGAAAAGTACATAGCTACATTTTAAAGATTCAACTATATATGCTTTTAAAGCCTTCTTAAGTATTTTCTACAGCCCGGGCTCCAGCCTAATTTCTGAAAACACTTTTTAGAAGAACCGCCACATATTTATGAAGAGAGCTTACTGTTCTGCATCTCTTCTGAATCTGCGTGTTGTCTTTCTCTTGACTGAACCCCCCTTTGACAGCAGAGCTTGGTGCTGATGCTCTTCAGGAGTACAGGGTGGCCCCAGAAAAGACTTAACTTCTTCATTTTTCCCCTTGTCAACACAGTCTTCTTTGGACACAGAAGAACTTCCAAGAGACAGAGAAGTATCCTTCTGCAACAACAGTTAATTATTTAAGACTTTCAATGCACTTAAAGCTATTTCTTCCAACTCAAAAATCTTCAAATATCTGACAGTGACCTTTCATCTAGCAGAAATTATCTTCTAATCACATTAGTAAATTCTGTCTAGAAAGTGACAAGTGAGCATGTTGCAGCAGTTGACTCTCCCACACTCCAATTTACATCAGGTTATCAGTCAAACCAGTAACTTTTAAACACAACTTTTACAGAGGATTGCCAAAATACTTTCAGAGAAGCACTGAATCTTTGCTTTTTAAAATTTTGCTCTCAAAAATAAGATTAAGAGACAATGTAACTGGGTTCTGAACTTGAATGCAAAATTCTCCATTTGAATGACAATCATAGCTGCTTTGGCATTAACTCTCACACACCTGGACAAGTTCCCCTCCTGGGGCTTCTTCAGCTGCATCGTTACAGCTTTTGTATCTTATGGCACTGATTATTCCCTGAACAGCAATTCGCTTGTGTTCTCTGTAGTGCAGGTCTTCAATCTCTTTCCCTATTTCACCTATGGGTTTCAAAACTGACTCAACTGCAAAAAAGAAATTTCCAGAATCACGTTTTAGAGAAATATAATACCAAAATCTCTGAACACAAGACTAAAAAGAATATTTATTTATTTTTTTACTAAATATTAAGTTGATTTAAAGTTATGCTTTTAAAGAATTCTAAATCTTTTGGTTTTCCACATCACATAGAAAATAATTAAAACAATAAACTTTTATAGCTCACAAGCATCTGTTAGTATTCATTATCAGACACCACAATTTCTGTTTCAGGTGAAATTTCCAGTTCAATGTACCCTTCAGAATAACTATTTAAAATTTTGATTTAGCAAAATATTCGGAGTAAAATATGCTGGGTATATGTGTAGCTCATGTCAGCTTCTACAATTCTCCTGCAGCTAATGGTGTGGTAGTTTCTGTGAGGTGAGGATTTAGCCTATTAAACATTTAGTCATGAAAGGGAGTTTTTCTTGGATTAAGACTGACTGAAAAAGGCCATAAATCTTACAGATATTTGACATATAATACCTTCGTTGTTTTTACAATATTTCAAAAAGCTATCAGGAGGTCGTGGAAAAGGGTAATAGCCACCGATGACAGTTTTCTTTATTTGATCAGCTTCACTTTGCGATTTCATCCACTGAATGAAGCTTTTCACTTTGGCATCCTTGGTGTATGGCTGGCCCTTGTGCCACCCTTTTAACACAAAAATAATCAGGTATCAAAACCAAAGCAGGTTACTGAAATTTGTTGCCATTTTGAAACTTTCCTGAACACTACCTAGAAAAAAACAAATTGAGAAAATCTTGACTAGAGAGTATAAAAGAGTATTTTATTTTTTGTCAAGAGTGTTTCATAAAATGAGTACCTTGAATTCCCTGACTGCACTTGCATTTGACACTGAAAATCAGACAAACATTAAATAACAGAAAAAAACAAAACAACTAGCAAAAAAGCTCCTAGAATAGGAAAGCTTCAAGTGTTTTTTAATGTTTTAAATAAATGGTAATCACCATTGCTACCCTATCAAAAGATTAACAGCCTGAAAGAATTAGTAAAATGTATGTCTTAACCTAGAAATACTTTTCACAAGATTAAGCCATTTTAATGCCTCACAAGAATCCCATTTGCCTTCTTCTTTTCTGCAGTGATGTTTCATTATTACCTCATAGTCCGCACTGATTATTTTGCTGTAAAATGAAAATATCCTTTCCAAAGAAATAGAAATACAACTAGAACTAGTTTAAGTTACCTGTAATGAATATTTGACTTTCATTTGAAGTTGTAAGGTAAACTGTCCTGGAAGGATTCTCAGTGAGGCCCTGGATCACTCTCATCTGTGTACACACCAAGTATGTCACTGCAGAAAAAAAAAAAAACACTTAATTTTTTTTTTTTTTTTGACAGTTCATTAATTTTAGAATGGCAAGACTGATATACACTGGATTAATTTTAAGTA